GTTTCAAAGTTTTAAGCATACATGGATATAGGGGCAGAGAAAGCGACTTTGTTTTGTACTATGTAGTGATATTATATTATAAATGTTATTTTGAATAAAATAGAGGTGTAGACAACTTTTAATATTTTTATTTTATAGATTTTCATGAACAAAAATATATATCTAAAAAAATATTAAAAAAAAGCATATTGAAATCTAAAAATTAATTTAAATTTAAAATTTATAACGAGGGTCCAAAAAGGTAAAAATAGTAAAAATGGAATTATTGTTAGAAAATTTTGAAACAACATTTGTTTTTAAAGCCATAATGCGATGAGATGTCTCTCATTGCAGCCTCGGAGTTGTCTGTTTTAATTAATTGTTCGTCAAGTTGCCTTATCTATAGCTAAATGGGTGGGATGACTGAAGAAATCAAAGCATTTGAATTGCTCAATTCTCGTGTGCTTTCCTCAAAAGGTCCCAACACGTCTACACAGTTTTGCATTATTTTCAATTCTTCGGGTAAAATATATAAGTATATCGCCGAATCCCTAATTTGTAAGAATCTCTCAATCATGATATATGAACTGTTCCATCTTGTGACACAGTCTTGAAAAACAGATGATTTAGGTTGATCGAGACGTTCTTGAATCGTATTCAATTCTTTTTGTGCTATTGTTGAATAACTTAAATGGTTCACATTTTTATTTTTATATTTTGATGAGATTTTAGCCCATTCTTGACACATAATTGTAGTTCATGAGCTGTGCAATCTATATCTTGGACTAGAGATATTTCCATAGCTCTTTTCATGTTTGATCCTTCGTCTCTAATAAATAATACATTGAACTTGATTTCTTGTAATACACCATTCAGTTAACATACATTCATGTTTATGGGCAATAATATCTCATGTGTAGCGATCTTCAAAAGTTACAGATTTTAGTATTATAGATTTGCGTTCAAAGTTTTCTGTAATTCCTTTGCGCTCGGGTCCGTCCAAATATCTGATGTAAATGACATGTACTTAAATTCCTTAATAATGTTCTTTATCTCAACAGGAACACTACCATATAAATTATTGCACACATACGCTAACATCTCAACTATTCATTTAACAATCTTCAAACTCTTTGGGTTATCTCTCTCATATTATTTAGCCCCTTGTAATGCTTGTTCCAATGACAATTGCTTTTTTGCTGCTTGAATTGGTGTTACTGTTTTATCTAAAAACAATATTTTAATTAAACTTGATGCTGATATTAAAAACAATGCTGATAATCAGCTGATGCTGATATTCGCAACAACCCTGGTTCAGAAACAGGAGGACAGGTTCTCCTGTTCTGTTCTTTCTTATACCATAACTCGCACCGCAGCAATTTACCACAACTCTATAGAAAAAAAAATATAATGAAATTCGATGGGATACGCAACTTACATGTCAAAAATACTATGTAGTATTTTTACTTTTCCATTGAGGGATGCAATGGGGTAAGTTTCTTCAGGAATTGTTAGTTATAAACTATAACTACGGACGAGGATCTTCAACGTCAATGCTCATGCATTCATAATAAGCATTTACAAAAACCGCAAATATTACTTTGTCATTTATACAACCACTATGAAAACAACAAAAGAAAAGTTTATTATTATATGTAAGTATTGGATAGATTGTAAGGTATTAAAATGTAATATTTTTACGGAACCCTCGGTGTGCGAGTCTGACTCTGGCTTGCTGTTTTTTATGCTGATTGGTATCTGAACAGGTTTAATACACATTAAAAGTAATATCTTTACCTTTTGAGGGTTAGAAAATATATAAATGTTTCTCTTTTTCTTCTTATTATTATAGAAATATAAAAATAAGGTTTAACAAATTAAAAAAAAAACGTTATGACCATTAATAACTAAAAAGCAACGCCATAATACCCAATAAGTAGAAAATAAAAAGTGTTTCAATAAATTCTAATTAATTTGTAATGCGACGATCTCGAGGCGAGTCGGAGGCCAAAGACGTACCGTGCAAACCATGTAGTTTTAAATAATTACTAACTTGGTCATTTACTAACGGATTTGAATTTTGTTTTCAGATTTATTTCAGGTGTGACCTATATTTTTATTTTATTGTGTTAAATATAATAATATTAATATCATGAAACTTCCTCATTGTATTTAATGATCAAAGGAGTTATTGTCTAATTGAAGAAGAAGAAGAGACATTTATTAACCTCAATTACACAAACAAATACATCACAATATATGATTCATAAAAAAACATACTACTATTAATAAACAATACAATAATAACATTTACAGAGGTCAATCAGGACCCTGCCTCAGCTTGTGTTGTCGTGACACACATGTGTGTGCCGCGTCAACGCTGATATTCTGACAGGGCCTGTTTGTTGCGCGACAAGTACTATTATACATAACGGCGGGTAGTTCGAAGGGGCTATTACGAAGCCCAAACTGATCGTCCATATCGGAGGACTATCTTTAAAATAACACTGCAGGCGTATATACCAACGTGGATTTGTTCCATTTAATCACTTTTCATACGAAAATATAACGAGATGAGCATGATGTCGTCGGACGTCTTTACTCCTCGGCGATCGGAAACAGAATGTGTGCCAAAATGGCGGCAACTTGGTTTTTATTAACGAACTGTCAAAGTCAGTGTCACTATTCTAACAAAAGTAAAAGTATCGATGATCACGCTCTCTTTACAATCGAGTAATTAAGTAATCGAGTAACTAGCAATTAAAATAAAAGAAACTAAATCAAACGATCTTCGTAAAGATGATGCGACATATACAATACATTTAATAACCTACTATTAAATACAATTATTATTTTACAAAATACAATACTTTCTGTAGTGAGATCTTTTTCGTAAAACAAGTTAAGCGCACGTTACAAGTGAGAGAAAAGAAAGTAATATGTGGTTCTCGAAATAAATGTAGTCTTTAATATAATGACAAGGAGACTTGTTGAGTTCAATACCCATCAAGCCCGACTAAAGCGAGAAAAAGGTGGAAAGGCAACGGGCAAAGGTAACCACATATCCTTCGATAGCCTCAAGTGCTGGCCGCGCTCATCACCCACTATCCACAAACACCGGGACTGCAGAAGGTAAGCTTTAAAAATAAAAGGTTAACAAGTTAAATGTAAAGATAAAAAATGTATTTAGACTAAGATTGTGATTGTTGAATATCCATCAATGGTTTTTTTTAATTTAGTGATTAATATTTTCTTTGTCCTTAGATCCCGTAAAGGAGGTGGAAGATCATTCCAGCACTTTGATGTCGCAAACCTGAAGGATCCACGGAAAGCTACAGCTACAATAATTGTAAAACTACCGCTCATTCTGATCTTTCGTTTCACATTTTAAAGATATTCATAAACTTCACGCTAAAACTATTTGTCATGTGATAGCGATTTCGTCTTTTTTTTTTGGAAGATATTATAAAGCATCATATATATCGCTCAGATTCCAAGATGAGTAGCAAAGCCTCCGTATTATGGAGTTTCTTAGATAACGAAGGTTACACCCAGGCTCGAGACAATACAGAAAATACTATTTTCTACATAGACCCGACCGGGAATCGAACCCGAGATTCCAGAGACGGCGACCCTTCGAAACTGCGGGCGAACCGGAGGTCGTCAAATGTTGAATGAATTATATTGTCAATTTAACATTAATCGGAATCGTCTAAGGAAGGCTTCAGACGCAAATATCATTCAAAGCCTTTCAGGAACGGCAAACGAAAAAGTTAACAGACTGCAATCTTTCACGACTTTGATTCTCACTGCAACAGCACAAGCTGAGGTAGTGTCCTGATTGACCACATGACATGTGTATGATGGATTGAAATATGTATATCACTGTCTTCTATATTCTGTATCACTTTTTATTATTATTATTTTTTTGTTTATAATTGTAAAGTGTAATGTGAAGGTCAATAAAAATACTTACTTACTTACTTTAAGTTATCTAAATCCATAAATCGCTATCAAAATTGTTACACCTTTAAAGGGCTCGCGATAGATTTGTAAATAAGACAATCAATCCACAGCTTCTTTACTTTCAAGGAGCTTTCAAAGAGCCTCAGAGGTGACTAGGGATTGCAATCTGGTACCATTTTTAAGCCGGCCGGATTTTACCGGATTGACGCCAATCCTGCCGGAGCCAGCCGGTTTTTACCGGATTAAGGACTACTTTGAGTTTATTCATAGTACGTTATTTTTGATTAATGTGAGGTACGGGCAAATATATTATGTACGCAAGAAAACATTACGATTCCTTCACAAAAAAGTAGTGTTCATAATCTTAACACAAGAAATAAAAATGAACTTGCCGTTCCAAGCTTCAGATTTCAGAAAACCAGAGGTAATATACTTTGATAAAGGGTAAATATATTTTGATTAAAAAAAAATAGAATTAAAACACTTCTTAATAAAGAATAAAATAACTTTTGATTACACTTTTTAGTATTCATTACTATTTGTTTGCACCGAGTGAAATTATTATATACATATTCTAAGTAATTAAATAATCAGGCTTAGTTATTAATTTAATTATCTGAAAGTAGCTACAGACTCGAGTAATAATAACTTTATATTTTTAGTGTTCATACTAGTATGTACTTATTATTTACTTAACGAAAATATGTAACTATTTTAAATACCAAAACAATCAGTCTAACTTATTGACAATAATCAACAACATATTAATTATTTCGACAGACTTTACAATCAAACATTTCTAATCAGCTTTAGTCATTCATAAACAAGCATTTATTTGCTGCAGCGCAGTGCAAAATTCAAGTACCTACATCAATAAAACAATCTTTTTTATGTCTGAAAAAAGGCGTCGCGCGCATAATTTGAATGTATGGATTATCATTTCGCGATTTAGAGTTTTACCGGATCCGTTGCGTCAGTGCCGGATCCGGTAGGTCTAGAAAAAGACCGGTTCCGCCGGACCGGATTGCAATCCCTAGAGGTGACTGTTGCTGGAGCTAACCTGCATGTCGCTGTCGCCGGTGCTTGCGAAGCGACTGCGCGTGCGCGTACGCCGCGGGGCACCACGCGCAGGCGTGAGCGCGCGCGCCCTCCCCCGCCCCCGCCCCTACACCCCCCGCGCCCGCCCCCGCGTGCGTGCGCGCGTGCGCGGCGGCCGCGCGGCGCGACGAGAACGAGCGCGCGCACGCCGGCACGGGGCACGAGTGCGGCCGCGCGCCGCAGTGAGCGCGCATATGACCGGACAACTTGTTGGTCGCGAACTGACGACCGCAGATCGGACACATGTACGGCTTCACTCCTGCCCCGGTAAATCGTTACATTGGTATAACATCGACATCACGTAACTGTGAAGGTCCTAAAAAGTGGTCTCACTTTCACATGTTGAGACATCGGAGAGCAAAAAATTGAAACCCCTGTTCTGTACCTAACCTAACCTATGTTGCTATATGCTGGAGTCGTTCCACGATAGTCTAAGTATCATCATCATCATCATCATCATCATCATCATCATCATCATCATCATCATCATCATCAAGCCTTTTACGTCCCCACTGTAGGGGTTCAGGCCTTCCTTGTAGATAGCTAAGGAGGATGGGTGACGCTGGCCCAAAGCGGATTGGAGGGTATTAACGACTGCAAATTCAGCCGGGACCAACGGCTTAACGTGCCTTCCGAAGCACAGAGTAGCTCGAGATAATATTTTTTTGGTCACCCATCTCGTGATCGGCCCTAGCGAAAATTGCTCAACGACAACGATCGCGGGCTGCGGCGCTTATTCACTGTACCATCAAGCTACTCCTAAGCCTAAGTATACCTAGTTATAATATATGACTGTTACCATTAATTCTATGACAAATGGTCTTAAATATTAACATAAAAATTAAAAATACCCCCCAAAGTACATACATAAATATCATATGATCTCCCCGTTTTGATTATACATTAATTATCTACGCTAAATATTAGTATTGGGTCGAGTTCCTATTGACATGTAAAGCTCAATTTTTTTTTATCTATTTTAAAATAGCATTTCTAATATATAAAATATGAAACAGTTTATAATGTGATTTCAATGACTATAAATTGGCTTATATTAATAAGCATCATAAAACCTGATGGTTCAGTCTGAATTATCAATCTCATTTACCTGTATGAATCCTTGAATGATCGTTCAAAGTGTTCTTGGTAGTGAATGTTTTGCCACACTCAGTACATGTGTACGGTCTCTCACCTGCAACACATTCATCTCCGTTTGATTAGATAAATAAAATCATACATTATTTTGACTGAGACTATTAAATAGTGCAACCAATATGACTTGAGCAAATTCAGATTGTAGAGTTTCATTGCCAAATGGTCATTTATTAGCTTAACTTGAATAAAAGTTAGTCATAACAGTTACCATGTATAAAATCTTTAAGAATAAGTTAATAAATATACTAAATATGGTAACTTTTGGGATATACATTTAGTGAAAATAACATTTTATAAATGTATAATATTGACTTCTCTTTGGGTATTTTTTTGTATTCCTATAAATATTTAATATATTTACAAGAAATACATACTACATTTTTTACTTACCATAGTGAGTCCTTATATGATTATTTAAATTGGTGTTAGTGGTGAATGACTTATCACAGTCTGACACGGGGCATGGGCGTCTAGGCCTTGGTTCACAATGTCTGCGTGCCAACCACTGTGTCAGTTGCCTCACTCCACACTTAGGACACGGCCACTCTTTTTCACCCAAATGCCTTTTGCTGTGAAAAAAGCAAAGTTTATCTTGTTACAAATATTTGTAATTGACTATTATCATCCAAAGGGATCTCAAGAGAAAGCCTCTCTCTGCAGACCATTATGGGCACCAGTTCATTTTATTATATCAAGTTTCCCAAATATTCTATTCAAATGCGATTGTATTATATAATTCAAGTATGTTGCTATTGTTATGTTTAACTTACAGATGCAATTTAAAGTTAAATTTCCTTGTGAAAATCTTCTGGCAGATATTACAAGTGTGTGTTGTTAAAGGTGCCCAGTGCTTGCACCTCCGCAATGAACCGCATTCCGGACACTTTGCGGCATCAATTTCCAACGCTGAATCTTTAATGTTTTCGTCCAACATTGCTTCGTCTTCATCATGATCACTGGCACTCTTTAAAACTTCATTTAATGAGTCAATATCTGAACATTTAGCAGCAAGTATTTCATTGGACCTTTCAAATTTTTGAAGAAAAACTGCTGTCATTTCTAATTCTTTTAAACATTGTGAACAAATTGAAGACGGTCCAGATTCGATATTTAACTTTATTTTTGTTGTATTTATTATTTTTTCGTAAGGTGAACAATCTTTTATTTTTTTAAATAGGGAGAATAATGTGCCCTTACTTTGCAGACATATCCTGCAGACGTTCCCATTATAATGATTCATTTTTTATCTAAGCAAAACCAAAACAAAACAGTATCAATCGTCTCATGCTGTGGTCTCATGAAAGCACGAACATTTTGACATTAGCTCGAGTTGCATGTCAAATTCAGTTGACATTTATTTTTAATTTTTTTTTTTAATATTTTTTATTTTTAGTTTTACGTCACCAAATTTTAGTGAGATGATTGTGGTTGACTAATCGATTCGATAGTGAGAGCGAAGGAAAGTGATCACGTCTAGTAACCACACGGCGTGTCTTGCATCGCGATGTCCTTTTCACCAGAGCCGTACTCGATACACGACATTTTTTAATATAACATTTTATTTTTTAATATTAAAACATAATAAAATTTAGTATCTCATCTTCATTACTTATCTCAACTATAACATAATTAGTACACTTAACAGCACGTCAGGTTATACACAACTGCCAAATTTCTACATTTCATTTTCAACCTTAATATATTTATATTAGAGTTTAAAATCAATTGCAGAAATTTAACAAAGTGTGGTACATTCATACAGTTCGCCAATAATTAACTTTAAAGGCTGGGCAGTGTGAAAATAAATTTCCAAAGTTGAATGTACCGTCAACAGCACGACAAACAATAGAAATCTGCCAAATTTTTTCAATTTATTTCATTCTATCCTCAAAATATAAATCATTTCGCTAGCAGTTACACGTATAAGCACCCACTTTTGCAATGCCCGCATTAGTTTCACGACACTATGGTAGTCATTCGTCACACTAGTTTCGTAATGTAAAGTCAGCTGTAATTTGGTTAACTTTGAATAAATTTAAATATTAAAATTAAAAAACAGCTACTTATGAGTTGATGCTTTGATTCTATCAGAATAAACTGGCATCTAATATAATAAACACCTAACGTCGTTCTGCCATCTACCATTGCAGATACATTGTGTTTGGCATAATTCGGGTAAAGACCCGAGTGTCTATTTTTTAATCTTTACCCCCACAACACTGGGGCAGCGTACTCCTGGTACAGCCTGCTGGTAATTTCAGAGCCTAAGTGAGTGAACAATTTTTAAAAACCATTGGTAATTGGTGCAATATTAGTAAAGCTTAAACATTACTTATAAAATTCTTAGAGCACAAATTACCCACATGAGAATAAGTAAATTATTATTTACTGAGTGCACTCCTGCCAGCGCCACTGTTACTAAAATTTTCACTCGATTACGCTTCCGACTAATTAAAATGCGTAACAGTACATATGTTACGAGAATGACGGCAACACACTACATGATGGTATTAGACTGAGTACACAAAAACAAATTCTATCACAATGCAGTACAGTCACAATTCGCTTAATTATTTCGTATCTAAAACATTTATTTCGTTTATGACCGCTCGAAAGCATAATCGCGTAAGGATGAAGTTCGCCGTTTAAGTGTCCGGCTACCCCAGGAGAAACGTTCACGTCGGCTACATACTAATGCGCCCTAGCCTAAGTTATAAGTATGGGTGATGGTCGGCGGTGACACTCGGTGTCAGGCTGACTGTAGCACGAGACAGGTGACCACGCAATATGAAGCCCCTCGTAGTAAGTATCGCAGAAAAATCAGTGAAGTGAAAACAGTGCGACGTATTGAAGTGAATTCAGTGTACAACAAAGTGATTACTGTGACTGTTTGTTAACATGGTGCGTGGTGCATTTCAGATAGCGCTCGTTGTGTTGGCTTGTGTGTGGTTTGCGGCTGGCGATGTGACCCACCTGAAGGCGGCCAAGGCGAGGCTATTAGGCCGATTGACTGGCAAGCATCACAAGAGAGGCATCTACTCACATGTGCCGCCATTCAAGTTAGGGCACGATATTCCCCTCGTGACTCACTCAGTGGTTAAACCACTAGTAGTAACCTACCCACCTACAGCTGCTGTGGCCAATATAAAGGTTCCAGTCACTCCTCCTTACCCGCACCTCCCTAGTTCTGTGACACATAAGGTGCATCCACACTTTGGAATAAAACATCCTCATCATAAAACCGTGCTTGTGCCCAAGCCGGATCAACATTTCCACCACCACCACCACCATCTCGCACCGAAACCTTTGGTTCCGGTGCTGCCGGCTCCTCCGGTACTTCCTCCTACTCCTCTTGTGCCTGTCCCTCAACCAACTAGAACAGTAGTACATCCTGTACCAGCACCTTCTCCACCTGTGATAGTGCACCAGGCACCTCAACCCATTTTACCTGCCCAACCGCTACCAATAGCCCCTCCCCCATCAGTTCCTTTATTTCCGCAACCGTCACCTTTAAAACCTGTTATTCCACTTACGCCCATCCAACCAGCACAAGCCGTCAACATACCTACATTCCCTATAACACCTCAATTTCCGTATATAATTAGACCTGGTAATGCTGTCCAGACTTCTTTCTTCGCATCGTACCCAAGATATCCTTTGGTGAACTACCAAAATCCATTGTTGACCCTAGCCGCTCCTCCGGCACCTGTATTGCCAGCTAACTTTTATGATCGTCCTCATTTTCATCATCTAGTTCCACAAGCTGGAGTGCATAGTGTTTTCGAACAACCGGCCCCACCATTACCAGTAGAGCAGACGCCAACGCTTCTACATCCAACCCAGACTGTTATACCGCAGCCGACAGTCCACCTTCAGCCTGATCAGCCAACTAGCCACTATCACCCTGTAGAGCCATCCGTTCACCTTCATTCAGCTCAGCCTCCTTTACACTTACAACCTGCGGAGCCATCCTTACACCTCCACCCAGGTCAGCCCACTTTACAATTACCACCTGCTGAGCCTTCATTACACGTCCATCCTGTTCAGCCAAGTCTGCACGTACAGCCAGCTGAACCAACTCTGCATCTCCAGCCAGCTCAGCCAGCCATTCACGTCCAAACGACACAACCTGCTGTGCCGCTCGACCACGACGGCTGGTCGCCGGTGCCTGCTCAGCCCGATCACGTCCCGAATCAGCCTGAAGGTTATTTTCACCAGCCAGTAGACTCCCACCACTTTACTCAAGAGCAAGGTACGCAAGTATACGAACATCACACAGGCAACGACCACTTCCACGACTATCAAAATCAGTTGGAACATCACATCCACCAACAAATCGATCAGGCACAATACGAGCAACACATTAACAATCAGCATCAGCTAAACCAAGAATACGGCGCACCTCAACAGGACTATGGGCAACCTAACCAAGATTTTCATCAAAATCAAGAGTTCGCGCAACACGCACATGAATACGCGCAGCATGTTCAGGAATATGCTCAACATGGCCAAGAGTATGCGCAAACGAACGAATACAATGCACAGCAGGGGCAGAGTTACCAATCGGGAGGGGAGTATAATCAATCAGAACAGGAATACGGGGCGCCACAGGGTATAGAAGGACGCAGTGGAGAGAGCGAGGGAGATACGCAGCGGTACCACAATCACATCCCGCTGGGCCTCCAGCCGCCCATCGACCGACCCCTGGAACACTTCCGGTAGTTACGTCTACATGAATATAGACATCGACTACAACGGGAGTGGTGTACACCACAAAACTGACATGTGATAAAACTTACAGAATGGTTCACTACTTAAAACACACACATACTTCAATTTCAATGAATTGTTATATTTTGACCAAACGAGAATATAAAAAATCATGTGGATTTATTATTAATTTATTAGTTAGTTTTACATCATTCTGCTAAAAAACTGAACAGTACAAAATGTTTGTTAGAACCACCTGTAAGTGAATATGCATAGTGATAGGTATTATGATTAATGTAAATAGACTATTATTTAATTTATTTATATGTAGATACTTTTCCACACAAATCTAGCCAACTTCAATGGACTTTTGCTACTAATATTATGTTTAAGGAAATTCTTGAATTCATTATTGTTATTGAAAAAAAAATGTACTTATTTCACGACACTAAGGTAGTCATATTTAACGATAATATTAAAATACATTACCATAACAAATATCGTAAGAAAGTAAATACGCGATCTTTTGTTTGCTATGATGGCATAAAGTCGTCAAGCATTTTTTTAAATTTTTTAAAGAACTTTCAGTTGATAGATAATAAAAAAACCAAAAACACAATCCGATTTCCTGGAAAATTATTAGAACCACCTCAATCCTTTCTCCTTTTTGTTGTCTCTTAAACTCAACAAGGGATATTCGGACATTAAAAAATCTGGAACCTCAATGGTCTGAAGAACTAGGTATTGCCTTTGTTATATTTTTTAGGTGCTATAGTATCAGAGATCGATGGGAAGAATTAACAATCTTAACCTGCCCTTTTAACTGTTTCAAAACTATTTTTTTTATAATTGTTAATAACTATTCTGACAATAAACAGTTTCATTCGATGTGTGTGTCCTACAATCACAATATAGTTTCTTTTTTATTTACCTTTGGGTTATCTCAATTCAACTTACATAATTGTGTTCCTTTCAACTGAATCGCTACGATAGTTTAGGGGAAAGTGGGAGACAACCGATAACAGTTCTATTACACAAAAATCATAAGAAAATATTAGCACTTTATTAAGTATATCTATATGTTTGTGTATCTTTATACTTATAGTACAATATTAAAGCAAAACCAACAATAATTCTTACTCGATTCAAAAGCTGTTCCATGAATTTCTTAACCCTTAAAGACATCTAATATTTTTTCTCGACTTTCTGGAATTACACAAAAAATGAACTTGTAGATTCTTGTTTTTCTATGAATCACAATAATATTTAATTCATATACCGTGGATTATGATTTACGGCTATAGTAATTATTCAAAGGTATATGTTATAAAGCGGCGGCGGCGTGCAGCGGTTATCGTGCAATTTCGCAATCAGCATCCGTGTGTCCGAATCGGGCCACACGTGTGTCACACGCGCACCACACCCACCCACCCACCACCACCACAACACACGTAATATATTATATATATAATATATTTCTGCCTGCGAATATGAGCGTGTAAATAATTACACGCTCATTTTATAGTAGAATTTCTCACTGAGTTAAAATTTCCTGTTATTTTCTATCATAGTGGGCAAATATTTTTAATTTGAAATTATAGTGTTTGCTCATAGTTTGTAAAAAAATGACACTCGATGCAACTGATGTAGCTAAGACAGTGGCTTTGGCTGATGCAGGGCATAACTACGGTACGAGATGCCATCAGATGATTTCGGGAGACTGGCTTATACACCAGCAAGGCAGATCAAGTCCAATATCGGTACACTTCGACAAGAGGTGGCAACACCCACTATAATTTTTTATTTTTTCATTTAATTGCCCCATTATTTTCAAAGCCAAAATTTTAAAATTTTCATTGAAAATTTTCTAAAAATCTATTTTTGGTAAGCTTCCTTCAATAAAAGACTTTATTTCCAACATTTTTGTTGTTTCTTTTGGTTTAAGTTTTTAACATTCCTTTCATAAAATATGGTCTATGTTTGGCGATTTCTGCGAATTGAAAGAAAAAGAAGGTGGGAGGCTAATTGTGTCTGTGAATGTATTTACAAATAAATAATACCTTATCAATTATTGACAAGAAAGTAAAGTTTTTTTAACCTGTAGGTTTTATTCAAATATCATATACCTACATGATTGGAAACATATAACTAACATCTTAAATTATTTTAATGAATTGATGGACATGTAAATAAATTAGTTTACAGATTAAAGTGTTTTTGCTTTTCGATTAGGCTTCCTTACTTTGATGTAGAACCCAACAATATCTGCCAAACAACCTTTTTTCAAAGGAAAACATAACAATGAAATAATAAAACTGCAGTATACTTATATCATTAGTCTGTCAACTGCAGAGATATACGTCTACTAGGAGTAGACGTATTATTGACATTAATAAAGAAGGTTCGATAACTTAATAATTAAATATAGAATAGAACCACGACACACTATTATATTTATAAAAATTACAAGACTAAAGGAATTAGGTCAAAATCATTACGAACTTATAGATTGCTCTTGGAGCAGGAAAAGTTTTACGACCCACTGTGGTACAATCCGCCACATGCAGCGGGTGTACGTTGTGTAACTTCATACACGGTATTATTTCCCGTGTGTTGAAGTAAGCTGAGAACTGTAGCACCAAACTATTTTGTACTGGTGTTACTATACCCGTTGTAGTCATGCAGGAATAACCATTATTTCGTGCAATGTCTACATCACCTAACATTTAAAAAAGGAATATGACAAATTGTATAAATATTAATAAAAAAAAAAATAATTAAAGCCTCGGAGTAACTATACCCTGGTTATGCTGAAATTCTTTTAAATATTACATAATTTATTATACCTATCTAACTGAAACCGAAAGGAAGATAATGACGATTCTGAATATCTTGAATTCTTTATTATATCAATATAAAAAAAATAACATGTTTTTTTTTATTTTAACTACGTTAATTTATTTGATTGCGAACGACTACTTCTCCAATTATAACGTTTACATAAAAGTAAACAACTTTAGATTTAATCGAGCTGTTTAAGTCGGGCGGAGGTTTCCTGTAGGTTATTAATTAAATGATACTTTATACTTATACCTACGACTTCAACAGCATTTACTTGAATAAGTCCCTTTTTATATATGTATTATTGATCAGCCACCTCAACATAAAAATATTAAACACTAGCATTCCGCCGGCGACATCGCCCGCAAGATCCCTAGGGAACTTTTTAGAGGGATAAATATCAGTAAGTTTTACTGCTGTGTAAACAGCAATTTGGATATCGATTCATATCGTGACACAGGTATAATTACCAAAGAGAATAGTAAATAATGGTTACTGTGGTAACGTTTTAATTCCTTGTACAAAATTTCTCTCCCATTTTATTTTTCGGGATAAAATAAAACCTTCGAGTTAAGGCAGTCTAGAGCGAACAAAAGCGTTGCAAACAAACAGACAATCAAATCTTTCCTCCTTATAATAGAGGAAATAATAAAGTAATCTTGTTACTTTATTATTTTCTCTTTATTATATCTCTCTATACAACTATTAGACCAATTTATAAAAGACTACCACCTACAAGAAGCGTCGGAACATCGGCTATCATTTACGCAGGTGAAGTTGCGGAGAACAACTAGTTTTATAGAAATTAGTTCACAATTAAAGAAGAAATCTATGAACATATTATACGTACTTTAATAAAAATATACATACTCCTTGAACATAGAAAATGCTCCTTTCGGATTTAACAAAAGATTACGGATTCAAAATAAGCAATATTTTGTTTTTAGCTGAAATATACATATCATCTTAATATTTAGGTGATATCTGGTGAAAAGAGTATTTTGTTTGTAATTTTTAAAATCAGTCAACTATTGGCGGAAATATTGTTGAACATACATAAAAACAAACATAAATCTCCGTCGGACAAATAACCTCATCCTTTTGGATTTTGAAGTCGGTAAAAAAATATAAGCTCATATGATTTCAAAGGTTTACCTTTTACCCTACTAGCATAATTTAATTGGAATACCAAATGTTTCCCCTATTGTTATGTCTTCTAGTCATTCTGAAAAATGGCAGTATCAAAACGTGCCTGCGACGCGTTATGTTAATGTAGTAGAAATAGAGCCGCTGCTGTATACGGGTGTGTCCCACATTTCTATGCTCCCGCGTGATGACATTAGGCATTTTTAGAAGTGGATGTAAATGATGCTGTAATCTTGTAGGTACGATTAGCTCACTTATCAATTCGTAATCGTAAACCAAATCAATTAGTTTCTTGTAACTACAAACAATAGTTATTAATTTCTAATATTCTACATTTATTTCAGGTAAATTGTCTCCGATCTGGACCCATAGTTTCCGTTAGGTCATCTTAGTCGCATTTTATTGCAAATCTTTTAACTAGATTTATATTACTATGTCTTACCTCCAACTTATAATCTATAAAGGCAGGCCACAATTACCTACAAAGCATATAATACTCGTTTATAAAGTTCGTGATCGGATTTGGACGGTCTTTATTATTATTAATAGATTTGGTCAGATAATTCAATAGATTTGGTGTAGCGAGCCACAAACTTAAATTTAGTTAGAGAGAAATCTAAAAATGAATAATAAAATAATTACGAGTACAATAAACAAATAATGTTTATAGAAATATCAAAAGATTAAAAAAAAGAGCCCTTAAAAAGAGTGCACTCGACGATTGGCATCATTAAAAATAGTACGCTTTTTGTAAGAAGATTTACCATTATCATATTTTATCAATTACTCATACAAAATAAAAGTACCAGGGACAAAATGGATTTCTTAAGTATTTTTCATTAAGAAGATTTACCATGTTTAGTGCTTAAAATTTTTTTGTTTATAGATACATTTTTAAATCTGTCTACAAACAAGATCTTTTAACAGATAAGTAGGAAATAAATCTATAATATGAGGTCAATAAGCCTTGCAAACGCCCATGTTGTATTTCATTGTAAGAAACAAACGAATACAATTTAAAAATT